GAGAGAGAGAGAGAGAGAGAGAGAGAGAGAGAGAGAGAGAGAGAGGGAGAAAAAATGACAGGGAGCGGGGGAGATCGCCGCGCTGGTGGTATCAGCACTTTCATCTTGCGGCAACAGTTGAGAGTGAACATGTTGTGCGCGAAATTGCGTTCGTTGTAAATTTCTTACCGAAGGCAGTGTGAATTTACTTCCGGGAAAAACTCCTCTTGTATATTGGCAAAATCGATTCTCCTCATCGGGGTACTGTCCCTCCTGGCAAACAATCATGAACGCTGTGGGTGGCCACGACGATGCGGGCCACGATCCCACCATCCTGGTCTGTCCTGGGCAATACATGCACCATAGCTTGATTAGGTGACTTGGGCTTACCAAGCGTGATTCCCTTGGAAATGGAGGCGTTCAGCGCGCAGTGCAGTAACCCGACAGTCCCGCAGGCATTGCCAACCGTTTGCTTCCTGGAACGAAGAACATTCAGATACCATCCAAGCGGAGAGGAGGCCAGCGACGTTGGGACAACTCATAACAGACCAGGACAACAAACACGAATCAACGTAAATAACAGGCCAAACGTTCAGAGGCCATCAATGCGCTTGAGAGACAGCTGAGAGCCAGCCGCAAGGCTTAGCATAGCGCGGCGCGGCTAACACGAATTCGACAAGCGGCGAAAATGTGTCAGCGCGGAGCATCCGTCGAAAAGCACTAGCGCCTTATATCGCCCTTATATCGCCCTCAGTGTCTGCCTCCGACCAGCCTTGACGGCACACCACGGCACAGCAGCAGACCAGAACCCGTCCAAAAGCTCCAATTCTCCGCATGTACAAACGACCGAGCGAGTGTAAGCAACAAAAAAAAACACACACGGCCGTGTCGCGATCCATGAGAAACCACGGAGAGTGCAACTACGGTGTGCTCATGGTGACGAGTACTGGAAGCAAACCACAAATGCTGGCGAGTAAGAGAAAGCACGCATGACAGCAGTAGGGCAACAAAGCCAAATACCAATCTTGGCAGGATGAAGTAACGCCTATGCGCATGAATGCAACGCAAGAGCGAGGGGGCGCGATGCAGGAAGTCTCTTTTCTGCTCGTAGATGTCTTCGTCGCCATCCAGCTCACAAACTGTAGCTCGTATGCACTTCGCTGAATACCCTACGCCCCTTCTTTTACTGAAGAGCTGGGATCCGGGGTCATACAGAACAATTCCACTTCCGTGCATGTCTTAGACTTGAGGTGACGTATCAACTGTCCTTCCCCAAGCAAATTCACGAACAGGCCCTTCCCACCAACTTAAAACATCGCCAGGATTTTAGCTCCGATCATTTCGCCTCTAGAGGGTATTCGAGGTTACTACCTTTACCACCCGGGGCGACCGGCAGATGCACCACAAAACAACAACAATGGTGCATTTCAGCATGCTTTTAGGTTGACGACGAAGGCGGCACGATCTCTCACATGAAGTACAGCTTGGGGTTGAGCGACTCTGTTGATTCCCGGACCCGCGCCGCCTCCTCCTCACGGTGCTTCTCGGTAGACTCTTTGATCGGAAACAGCATCACCACGCCCAGGACCGGCTGTGGCACCATCGCAAGCGCCCAGTCCTCCGTGCTATACACATCTGTAAAACTGCGAACGTGTTGTCCAAAAGTGGTGTGGGGACAAGTCTGAGAACTGGATTTCGGAATCTTTTCCAAAGGGAGGGGGCGGACCGAAGCCGGTGTCGCATGCTACGGGGGGGAAGGAGGACAACAGCTGATGCAAACGCCTGAATGAAAACCATTTTACAGGCCAGATCCGAGATCGGCCGGGATGCCGCAAATTGCTGCGGGCGGTTACCTCGGAACTTGTCAATGTGGGCTGCGCTGCAGATGGGATAAGTTTGTCTGCACTACGCCACGTACGTTCTTCGCACTAGGCTACTGCTACCCGAAGGCAATCGTGGGCATCAAACCCACTCCTACTGCTTGGGGTGCCGAATAAAATGAGGTTTCGGGGATTCTGAACGCCCGAGGGAATATCGTTGACAGTCCAAGAGTAGTTCATTCTAACGAGGAAATAAAAAGTTGTCACGTGCCGCGAAGCGTGGAGCGCGACCTTCTTTCTCGTCATCCCAGGAGGGAAAAAAAGGCTCTAAATTCGACCTGTTCCAACACGATGCAGGGGCCCCAAACTTGATTACTGGGGCATCTAAGTAACCCTCCTTTTCCACTCAACCAAGACCTATAGGCCACAGAATAACGATCTGTTGACTTCTGAGGAAGAAGCAAAATAGGGCGCTCTTCGTCACACCGCTTTGGTCGTGCTCCGACAACAACTGGCAGTGCTACACACGCAGTTGTGCCCAAAACTCGTAGGAGACACCTCGGCCCACCCGCGGAAGTTGTCATGGTAATGGAGGAACACAAAATCGGAGATGGTACGCACACCACGCGGTTCAATCTCGCAGGAGATACGGAGGCAATCTTCACACACACCACAGGGCCAGCTATCAAAACAGCAGGTGCCGAGCCTATACGACCTGCGCGCGGTGGATAAGGCCATCCGTGCGCCATGTGTAGCATGGGGTGTTTTTTAAGGCTACGCATTCGTCCCAACTGACTGCAAAAAAATATCAACGTGAGTAGGATCACACACTCCAGTTACAACCACCAAGCACACGATCTGACGATCGCTCGCGCCCTTGGACACAGATCGAGAGAAACCTTCGAGGGCGTGAGCCTCGTCTACTGCTGTGCGTGGCCCTGATCGGTTCATCACAGGTCGCTTGCGCCGCGCTGCTGTCGTCAAAGACAAACGTAAATCAGGCAAAGACGTCTTCTTGCCATTCTTGTTGCTGCTGACTCTCTCGCGTGATGTCGACTGATGTTCTGTTGCTGGCCGGTAAACTAATGGTAGACTGCTTGCTGACACTCCGTGGGAAATTCGCGATGTTGAGACAATTGAGTGTGGCGGGTAAGTTGTGCGCCTGCCGCATCTATCTGTCACGATATCACGATTCTATCTCCGCTGCTCCACGATGCTGCTGTTTCCCTGCGGTGGGTACGTGGTTACGTGCAGAATTCCGTGCCTCTCTGCGGCGTGTTGGCGTCCGCATTTCCGCATGCTCTTTGCGCACGGCTGAAAGACTCGTCTTCAGGTTGTTCGTCAGTGCTTGGCGTCAACGGAAAACAGAACAACCGGCCGCCTCCCCACGCACAAGCACCTCCTCGCCGTGCTCGTTGCACGCGTGTGCCTAGTGCACCTAGCTACAATTCGCGACGAGCATCGCTGTTGCAACGTAATGCGCCGTACACCGCGGGTCATTATCCCGCCCTAGGACGTACTTCCAGCTGGTGTTCGTCCCATCTATTCTGGCGCCAATCTATAAAGACCGATCAGTCGGACTCGTACAGGAGGGAGATGGTACAGGAGTTTTCCATGTGTCCTTCACTACAGCAGGAGTACAAAAACAAAGCCTGCGTTGGATCCGGCGGCCAGCGCAAGCCACCACCGAAAAAGTTCATAGGCCAGCGTGGAATCTTGAGGGAGGGGGAGAGTTGCGTCACGTGGTTCATGCTGCTGTCGTTGGTTGCTCGACAGACCACATCGAAAATGAAGGTTGCTCTGAACAATTCCGACTGACCTGTACGCTCCCGCCGGCCACCCCATCTTGGCGATGTACTTGTTCATCACATCAGGGTTGGACTCTGACAATCCGAGCCGAGGGATCAACGACGGTGAATGTCACCTACAACAGCATACCTCATGGGAAGGGTTGCTTAAAGCAGCCCACTTCGTCCGAATACAATAAAGAACGATACACACATGAACACAACTGCTACGTAAGGTCCAATATGCAGGACTGACAAAGCACGTGGAACCAAGTCGCTTGAAGACTCCACAGCACGGAATCAAGTTTCCCTCGGACGCTGCACAGCACTGGCCTGTTTCGGGCATTTCGAATCAACTTCCAGACTACACTACACTATAGCGGCAGGCGGAGCAACTCGTTGTTGCAATGCAAAACAATGGTCTTAACATCCAAGTGCAGGCACTACTCTATGCATCACCCCACGCTCTCAGGAAGCATGTACAGCTTACAGCCAAAATGTCCGTACCCACACGTGGATACGTACAGCAGTAGCTGACGTACCGGGCGTCGGGTGTGCCTCGAAAACGCGGCGGAAGCGTATGTACATGCGGCGAGTGATGCACAGGCCTCATTGCTCTAGATTCCTCTCACCAAGCGGAAACCATCTCTTCCTTCCTTTGTCAGATTTGAAGGGGGAGGGTGCGGACAAAGCTTCAGCCTCGGCCATATTTCCAATTAACAAGCTGCGGATGCGGAAAGAGACAGAGAGACGGGGGCAGTAGGCAGAGAGTTCAATAGCACGCGGATCATCATTGAAATCTGCAATATGTCAAAGGGGGTTCCGCACAACGTCGAAATCTCAACAGCGGGGACCCCTGGTACAGTCGTCCCCGCTTTAAAGACGCATAGCGTTTTTTTCTTTCAAAGCGTCTTTA